CAGGGCTTAGCATCTGTCTAAAAGAATGGGGAGAATCCCTTCCAAAATAAGAAGTCTCCACTGAGTTTTAATGACTAGTTTATAGTTTACTAATTGCTAGGCAGGAATTGTACAATAATTAATTAATTAATTAATTGCCACTTTTTGTTATTTCTTCCACCAGTTTCCTAATTTCTTAAGATTTTTTCTCTCTCCCCTTTCCTCTTTGGAATGCACACTCAATATGCTTGCCTCCAGATAATGGTGTCTTTAGGGATTTAATTCCCTTGGTTTTACTGGCACTAACATTTTAGGAAGATACTTTAAATCTTGTCAGAAAAAGAGCTTAATTCATTTTAAGTTCACTAGCCACACTTTGTCCTGAAATCAGAAGTCTCTCTTCAGCAGCCATTAGATTTTTCTAAGTTCATGTTTGCCATGTCAGCTGCTAGCAATAATTCAGTAGACTATCAGTAAATACAGATAAACAGTCTTATGATATAGGGAAAGAGGAAGAAGTTGTTCTGGTTTCTGATATCTACAGAAGTAATGTCTAAAGAATTCCTTCCTCTTTTCTCTCTGAAGAAGCATTAAACAAACCTGTGCTATGTTAATAACACTACTCAGCTGAAAATGGGTATGAAACTGTAGTAATGAAAATCAAGGAATTCAATGAAAAAATGAGACTAAAATTAAATAAAAAGGTACTTTCCCCAATTTAACTTAAAAATTATAAATTGTTTTGTAATTCAGTTCTTTAATTTTTTGATCTATTTCAGCACTTGTGATAACATCTAACCACCTCTATTAATAAGCCTATGAACCAGTAGTGGGATTCAGCCAGTTCGCACCAGTTCGGCAGAACCGGTAGCTAATTTTTTGTTGCCCAGGCCCAGAATGGACTTCCGGATGCAGCATCCACACAAGAGAACTGGTTGTTCACGTATTTGAATTCCACCACTGCTATGAACAAAATATTTCTAAAACAGAATTAAAATGATTCTAGATAAAATCATATTAACCCTGAATAATTTAATGCATAACTAAAGAGGCACCCTCATTACTTCCAATTTTACTGTATTGGGCTTAGATTAGTTGCAATTTTAGAAAGAAAAATAGGAGATTGATATATAACTAGAGGCTTTAAAGAAGCTATTGCAGCATAGGCAAAATGTATAGGTAATCCTCAACTTATAACCAGTAGTTTAGCAATGCTTCAGAATTACAACATTGCTGAAAAAAAATGACTTATGACTAGTGTTTGCACTTACAGCTGTTGCAGCATCCCCATGGTCACATGATCAAAATCTGAGTGCTTGGCAACTGGAATGTATCTACAACAGTTGCAGTGAGGTTTTTTGGCAGTGGTTTATTCTTTGAGTTTGCCTATTTTGCTTCCAGACGTTTCGTTACCAAACTAGGTAACATCTTCAGCGGGACTTTGGGTGAAGTGTCTCGTTCAGTTTTTCTTCTGTTGCAGAGTCACAATTTGCAACCTTCCCAGTCAGATTCCAGCAAGCAAAAGCAATGGGGTAATGCGAGATTCACTTAACAATCACATGATTCAGGTAACAACTGTAGTGATTCGCTTAACCACCATGGCAAAAAAGTTGTAAAATTGGGCACGACTCACTTTGACAACCACCTTGCTTAGCAATGGAAATTCTGGTCCCCATTGTGTTAATAAGTCAAAGACTATCTGTATCATGTTCCTTTTATAAATCATTCAGTGTATTGAACATGGCTGTATATCCAATGTAATTGGACAAAGATGGGTGCACATACCAACCTTGGTCCCTGCCAGGCTCTCTGCCTGATGTGCCTGTTTACATTTTAAAAATTTAATTCAAAATGTGAGAAACAGACATACTTAAAAGCTAACTCCCAGCCTCTAGTATTGCCTTTATTTCCAATAACTCATCTAGGTTCCAATAAGCTATATATACTTAATTATTATTTAATTATTAAATTAATAAGCAGAAATTTTAAGAACTGGCTGGGAGAGGAAGCATGAAGTGGTGGCTGGTCTGATAAATCACTTTCTTAAGATGATTTTATTACAGTTAGTTATGGGTGCCATTAGACAAGCCCAATGATCCAAGCAATTTTAGGAAAATACCCATTGTATGTTCTCAAAATTCCAAACGTTTCCACTTCCAAAAGGTTGACCCACTGTCTCTTTGATTTCTATTTCAACTTCGATATTTTCACCGACAGCCTTTTTTCGGGGAATGTTTTTATTCTACTTTGGGAAAGCAGCTCTGCAAACAAATATGATCATCATAATTTTGACTCCTCTGAAACTGTTGTAAATCCTGAGACTTCTTCTGTGTTTACAGCTGTGTATTTCAGTCCCCCCACAGGTGGGGACTGCAGCCAAGAAATTAAAAGACGCTTGCTCCTGGGGAGGAAAGCTATGGCAAATCTAGACAGCATACTAAAAAGTAGAGACATCACCCTGCCAACAAAAGTACGTATAGTCAAGGCCATGGTTTTCCCAGTTGCAATGTATGGCTGTGAAAGCTGGACCATAAGAAAGGCTGAGCGCCAAAGAATTGAGGCCTTTGAACTCTGGTGCTGGAGAAGACTCCTGCGAGTCCCCTGGACTGCAAGGCGATCAAACTGGTCAGTCCTAGAAGAGATCAACCCTGACTGCTCTTTAGAAGGCCAGATCCTGAAGTTGAAACTCAAGTACTTTGGCCACCTAATGAGGACTCACTGGAGAAGAGCCTAATGCTGGGAAAGATTGAGGGCAATAGAAGAAGGGGACGACAGAGAATGAGGTGGCTGGACGGAGTCACTGAAGCAGTAGGCGTGAGTTTAAATGGATTCCAGAAGATGGTAGAGGACAGGAAGGCCTGGAGGAACATTGTCCATGGGGTCGCGATGGGTCGGACATGACTTCACAACTAACAACAACATTTCACATAACCTACAACTTTTCAACTTAGCTTTTTGTATAGTTTAAGAATTGCTTTTATCCAATTATTGTTGCTGTTTAAGTTATATTGTTGTATTTGCATTTTTAATTAGAATGTTTTTTTTTCTTGTGGTTGAACCACTTTTATCACTTTTCCCTAGTTAGAAACAGGCACTTCCCTATTTTTAAATATCATGAGTATTTTGTCTCAAAATTCCCAAGGGGGAGGCAATGGTTGGAGATGCAATCCACTTCTGCTTAAAAGAAACAAGGTAGGTTATCATGGCTCCTTCGGAATCAGTACAGATATTCCTTAACTTACAACAGTTCATTTAGTGACCGTTTGAGGTTACAACAGCACTGAAAAAAGTGACTTATGACCACTTCTTACACTTATGACCATTGCAGCATCTCCATGGTCATGG